TCATACAATTCGATCATTTCGAAATTTTGCGAATTTATAATCGTCTCGAAGAAATATATATATAGAGTGTTAATAAAGAAATTTCATACAATTCGATCGTTTCGAAATTTTGCGAAACAATTGCGAATTTATAATCGTTGTCTCGAAGAATTACATATAGAGTGTTAATAGATAATAAATTTCATACAATTCGATCGTCTCGAAATTTTGCGAATTTATAATCGTCTCGAAGAATTATATATAGAGTGTTAATAGAGATCGTTCGAAATTTTGTGAAACAATTGCGAATTTATAATCGTTGTCTCGAAGAATTACAAATAGAGTGTTAATCGAGAAATTTCATACAATTCGATCGTTTCGAAATTTTGCGAATTTATAATCGTCTCGAAGAATTATATATAGAGTGTTAATAAAGAAATTGCATACAATTCGATCGTTTCGAAATTTTGCGAAACAATTGCGAATTTATAATCATTGTCTCGAAGAATTATATATAGAATGTTAATCGAGAAACTAATTTGATCTACTCGTGTATTTAATTATTATTAATTCGGGAATTGAGTAAGAATGGTCGAAATGTTTAATTCGTTTGTTAAGCGAACGAAGACGTTGGAAACAGGCATGCGTTGCAAACTAGATCTCGTTAAACGGGAATCAACGTTGTTGCCGCGAAACTTGCCAAGTCGTCTTTTGTCTCGCATTTCCCAAGTGTCCCGTATCGTATCGCCTCCGCTGTCCTCTTTTAGTCAGTGTTCGTCCCAACAACAGTGCTCGTACGAATTGGAATTGGAGCATTCACGAATACACCCTCGATATCGAGACGTGTATGCAAAGCGTGTGATTCGTGAATTTTTTCTTGTTATTTTTTATCTCGATATCGAACTTAAACCAGTATCGAAGCGCTTGTTGTTGTTTCAACACTTTTTTTTCACTTGGAAGTTTATAAAGAGAGCGAAAGAAGAGGAAGTTTACGGTATGTGAAAAAAAGGAAAGAAAAAGAAGAAAGAAAGAAAAGTGACGTTCTCACGTTCGCGCTTCTCGCGCAGAGAAGCAGGGAGAATCTGGTAAAAAGTTCTCTAATGAGAGATACGGATCGAGCTCAAGTTTTCAATGAGAAAGTTATGGAACCACTTTGCGCGCCATGTTTTGCTCAAGGCGGGACGCAACTCGTTCCGGGGCTATCAAATTTTCAATGTAATTGATACACGGAGAAAATCTCGCGAGTTTTTGAACGAGGCTTCCTCGGTTTGTAATTTATATATACATATATGCATATTTCAAATATTGTGTGATCGAGCCACGATCATTGTTCCTCACTTTCGGATAAAATTTAGTAAAGTATAGTCTATAATTACTGCAATTAGCTCCCTTCGTGCAATTACTCCCTTTATTAATCAACGTAACTTAATTTCCCTTACGTTTATTACGGGATATTCAATAATTTGCTGCCTGAACTATGTCATTATCAGTGCGGATTGTGAATGAAATTGTGAAATTTTATCCGATTCGTCCGTTTAAAGTTATTAAATTATTCGTTTTATCATTCGTTCGAATTTACGCTTCGAATATTCCTAAAATTATAATAATTAATAATTATTTCGCTCTGATTTAGTTTGGCGATAATTAAAAAAGATTTTCTATTCCTATTCTGCTTGCCCGACACTATAACGACTCTTATACCACTTGTCTCCTTTATTCTTCTTGTACTACTGTCTGACAATGATCTCTTCATTCTACTTATCCAGCTCAACGACGTACACCTGTCCGATCATAGCTAATCTGTTCTACTTAGACTCTTTATCTGCAACTATTTAACTTTTTCACTAGGCCATACCTAGGATTATAATAATCCTTATGATAATATTTGTCTCATTACTATAACGATTCTATATTACCAATTATCTCACTACTCTTCTCATATAGACTACCGTCTGACAACGATCCTTCTATTCTACTTATCCAGCTCAACGACATACACCTGTACCACGATCATAGCTAATCTGTTCTACTTAGACTCTTTGTCTGCAACTATTTAATTTTTTCACTAGGATCATAATAATCCTTATGATAATATTTGTCTCATTACTATAACGATTCTATATTACCAATTATCTCACTACTCTTCTCATATAGACTACCGTCTGACAAACGATCCTTCTATTCTACTTATTCAACTCAACGACGTACACCTGTCCGATCATAGCTAATCTGTTCTACTTAGACTCTTCTCTTGTTTGATTGCAACTATTTCACTGCGCCATATCTAGATTTACCTAGATCATAATAATCCTCGTGATAATATTTCTCTACTATAATGATTCTATACTACCAATTGTTTTACTCTCCTCGACTATAGATACTATAGACTACTATCTGACAATGATCGTGATCTGTTCTATTTATACGATTCTATTTGTACTTAGACAACTATTTTTCTTTACTCTACCATATCTAGATCATAATAATCCTCGTGATAATATTTCTCTACTATAATGATTCTATATTTCCAATTCTCTCATTATTATTTTTGTATAGACTATTATCTGATAATGATCGTGATCTGTTCTATTTATACGATTCTATTTGTACTTAGACAACTATTTTTTTTACTTTATTTAGATCATAATAATCGTGATAATATTTCTCCAATCACTTTCTTTTTGTATTGTCCGACAATGACTCTTCCATTCTACTTATCCAGCTCAACGACGTACACTTTTGTCCGATCATAGTTAATCTGTTCTACTTAGACTCTTCTCTTGTTTGATTGCAACTATTTCACTGTGCCATATCTAGATTTACCTAGATCATAATAATCCTCGTGATAATATTTCTCTACTATAATGATTCTATACTACCAATTGTTTTATTCTCCTCGACTATAGATACTATAGACTACTATCTGACAATGATCGTGATATGTTCTATTTATACGATTCTATTTGTACTTAGACAACTATTTTTCTTTACTCTACCTAGATCATAATAATCGTGATAATATTTCTCCAATAACTTTCTTTTTGTATTGTCCGACTCTTTCATTCTACTTATTCAGTTCAATAATATACCACCACCTGTCTGATCGTGGCTAGTCTATTCTTAAACTCTTCCCTTGTCCCTTCTTTACTCGCACGCACCACACTTAAATTTAAATCTATTATTTTCGTTCTATCATAGTTGACATTCGACCACTGATCAACCGCAGAAAATCTAGGAAAAGAAAATGAAACGATCACTATTATCGAAAAAGTAAAGTGGCCCCCTTTCGAGAATCTCTCTTCATTTTTCTCCCTTCCCAAATATTCCGTATATTCCCTCGAATGAAGTGACGAAAAACGGAGGAAAAATGAAAAGGGAAAGCTTCGGCTATCGATTGTTGTGGGAAAGGAATCAAAGGTCGAAGGAAAACAAAGTGAAATTCTCGGGAAAAGGTAGCGCTTACCCATCGTTCAACGATTGCCTCCCTGTGAAAGGAGGAGGAAAGCTGACGGACGGCGAGGAGCAGCCGGACCGGAGCTGCCGCTTATATTAAAGTTGAAAAATTTTCCCTTGGCCGTCCACCGCTTTTGCTCGAAGAAGAGGAAGAGGAAGAGGGAGAGGAAGAAAGAAAAATTTCCCTATGAATGGAAAAGCAGCCGGTTGAATGGCATCGAAGGAAAGGGGCGAAGCCGTTTCCGCGGGGGCTGATACTTTTTCTTCCTCGATACTCGACATTACGCTTTTTAGATCGGGGGAGGAGGGTGTACACGTATGCTCGGGCGGCGTAAACGCGAGAAGAAAAGTTGATCTACGGCCAAAGGATGAATAGGGTGCGGGCAATGGTGAAGTGGCGCGGCCAACCGCTTATTTATAGATAACGAAATAATTCAAAAGTTTTCGTTATTTATGCGCCCATTCTCTCTCTCTTTCTCTCTCTTTCCTTTTTGGTATTTTATTTATTCCTGATACCTGTCACTCCTCCCTTTTGCAAATAATTATCGCGTAATTTTTCATCAGTTTTGTGGAAGGGGAAAAAGAATTGGAAAATGATGCTTCAAAATAATGTAATTTTTGAAATTTTTGGAAAAATTGTGAGAATATTCGTAATTTTTTATTTTTCGTTTCGAAGAATTTTTGAAAAATCTTGGAAAAATTATAATCCGTAATACGTAATTTTTTGCTTCACTTTTGGAAGAAGAATCGGAGAAAGATTCGAAATATTTTCGAATCGAGAAATTTTCGGGAAAATTCAATTCACGAGTCGATAACGAATTAAAAAGTATCTTCGTTTCTGGTTATATTCCACGAATTTCAAATTAATTTATAGATTTTTTCCTCAAAACTACTAACGAGCAACTTTTTCACGGTTCTAAAAATCATTTTAGCTGGACGGAGGAAGAAACTTTTGACATTTCCAATTCCATTTGGAGAATTAACCAGAAAATTCTACTCGCGCAGATATTTAACCGAAATTCTACGAAATGGTTAACGTTGCTTCCATTTCGAATCTCCTATTTCTCGTTTCCACGATATCTGATCGCGAATCGACCTATTTCTAACGAGTTGCGTGTGTATACAAAGAAATTTTATTAAGAATGAGATTAAAGGAGGCAGCTCGTTATTTATTTGGCAAAATAAATTGGGTGTTCCTTTTTTCTCGATTAAGGGCAATTATAATGGTCGCAGGGAATTTTATTTTCTCCTGCTTAAAGAAATAATCGAAATTACTTTCGAAAACATAGTCCTTGCCACTCTCTACAAATTAAATAAATACATACATCTCAAGATTTATATATATATATATATAATATTAAATAATATAATTAATATATAATATTTAATATATATTAAATATATATATATANATAAATATATATATTAAATATATATAATAAATAAATATATATATATATATATTTAATCGTTTAATTTTACCTAAAAAGAGGGAAAGAGCTCTTTAGAGAGAAGTCTCTCCTAAACATCCCCTTGACGTTTCAACGTTTCTTCGCGCGAGATTATCACGCAATGGCCCGAGGGTAAGTAACCTAGGAGTCAGGGCGAGGATAGGAGGAAGAATGTAGCGACAACACGACAGTTTTGGTCGTGGTGGGCGCTGTTACACGCGGGAGAAGCGGGGGGATAGCCGATTCAGAGAGAAAGGCTGGAACGAGGTAAGCAAGATTTACATTTTTGCCGGGGAAATAGGTTTTGCGATAAAAGGATTTCGAATAAAATTTAACTCGGCTTGGTATGCCCCCGTGCATGCAGCGGTTGGTATTTTGATTTAGTAGTCGTTTGAGAGTTGGCAAGCTCTTTGGAGTGCCGCCAACATTTTTATGTTATTCCTTCTTCCCCTTCCACCCCAAACGGTCCACCGCCCCCGCCTCCCTTTCCGTCGCCCCCTCCCCCTTCCTTTCCTCCTCTCTTCGCGTTCTCCTCCCGTTTCTTCTCCTTTCTTTTATCGGCCCGCAAACGGTTTCGCAATGGTGCCAACCGTGGAAACAACCCTGCCGCGGAGATCGCCGGTTTTTCGGATCGATTTCGACGGAAAGGTTTTTCACCTTTCGAATTTTTCCAATTCGTCAAAGTTTTCCCTCTTCTCCTTCTCTTTCGAAAAATAACGATGCGCTCGTTGAAAAAAATTTCACTCGAGTTTCGTTTCGCGACACCCCAATCTCGCATTTATATTCCATTGGTTTCGGAGTGCAACCATTGTGGAACGTAACGCGAGTGAAAAGGCCACTTTACGGTGTATTTTGTTTTATCCTCCTTCTGGTAATTAGTTTTGCGTGTAATTTAAACTTTCCCTTCCACGGCGTATTCCGTGGAAATAACCCGGGAAAAAACTTGATTAACGAGTGTATCGATATTAAAGCGAAGTGCATTCTCACATCGGTTAACCGAGTGTGGCTTCTTTTTTTCTCCCGAGAAACGAAAATAAAAAATTATTTTTCCCATTTTTACGCGCACGCGTGAAATATAAATCGTGTCCTTGGATAATTCGCGCCACTTTTTGAAAACGCGTAGAATTTTTTCTTCTTTTTCTTTTTTTCTGGAAAAAGATTCGAAATCTCAAACGCAAAGTAAACGCTTCCATAGAGCGGCGCTTCAAGTTTTTTTCCTTTTTTTAAATACAAATACCATCGCGACGCGTGCACGCAAAAGTGTTACAACTGTTTCGTCGTATATCTTCTGGCCGGGACGGGAATGCAGGGATATGGAATCGTTGCGGGGAGAAATTGTGGATGCATTGTATTCGAGAAAAATTATGAAATTGCATTCTGAATGGGATTACGCAATTTCGAGAATAATATTGCGTGCAACAACATCAATAAAACTAATAATAATCTTTCTTTTCTCTTAATCCTTCTCCAATCGTCCCTTTCCAATTACCAAATTCCAATTACATCATCTTGTCTTCCATTTACTGGCGAACCCAAAGGTAAGTAAAGCGAGTAAATACTCTTTGCAACTCCTCCTCATCGTTAATTAAAAAAAGAAAAGAAATAAAAAGGATCTTTCAAAAATCTTCTATCCTCAGATTTTTACCCATATTGGACCCATAACTTTGCGAAATTTCGCGCGGTATTAATAGCAGAGGATTATTAAATCGTGCGGAGAACCTTGGCCAGAGATGTTTTTACGGCTGTAACGTTTACCCTGTCGCGTTATCGCGTGCCAGAAGTAATGACTTCTACCCTTTCCTTGGCCATGTTCCCTCTTCCCTCCCTCTCTTTCCCCCGTGTGTCCACTAAAAGGAGGTCAGTAAATATTTACGGTTTCGTTTTTCCAGACGGACCAATTCTATTTGAACTCCAAGTAGAGAGAGATCCACGAGGGATAGTTTAGTCGGATATTTCGGGCGTATATTCCGGAAGTCACCGGAACTAAAAGGGAAAGAAGAGGAGGAGGAAGAGGATCGTAGGGGATAGCGACTTTATCCCACCCCTCCTCTCCGCTCTATCTCTCGCCAAAGGAGAGATCCTCCTCCTCCTCCTCCTCTTTTACAGGGGATGGAGGACGAAAGTAACTCCTCGGGAACAGATTCGAACGGCGATCGAAAAGTGATAAAGAGGTTCGTTGGTTAACGTTTTAATCGTGAAACGAGCCGCCATCATGGATCCCGGCTCGATACTTTTCGACTTTGCGCGGATGGAAGGGGAGGGGAGGCGTGTTTCGAGGATTACGAGCAGTTGAAATTAAAGGAGATATCTTCTCCCCCCCTATTTTTGACGTGAGACAATGAGATGCGATAAATGGATCTACGATCGA